TTCGATTTTTTGTCTAGACCCGAGATCCAATCCAAACCCATCGGTTCTCGATTCGGGTACCCATTCATATATTTAATTTACGAAGAACCGCTCAATTTGGTTCGATTAGGTCCGATTCGATTTGAAACTTTTGGACACCCCTGATAAATAGATATATTACAATTCATAAAAATAAAAAATAAAAATAGTCTATTAGCAAAATTAGTCACCATGTTCCTGAATCTTCTAGAAAAATTGAGTTCTATATTATAATATATGTGTGGTCTTAAAGGAATTGATTTCTCTGTACAGCTACAACGGCAATAATAGAGAAACAAAAGAATGGGTTAAAAAAAGAAGAAAAGCACTTTGTAGTCTATTTTTCCACAAAGCCATTTTCCATCAGTTTTCTCCCCAGCTTACTTTAAGCCATTTTCCATGTCTGCATTCGGAGACTACATAAGTATTCATCCTATTATAGATCTGAAATATCTATAGATTCTTAAGCTTTAATTCACAAAAAGGATAAAAAATCAAAAAGCTGGAACCAAACAGCAATATTTTGGGATGAGTAGAGACAACTGGGAAAGGTTGGTTGTAGCCGTTTTACGGAAAGAAGAGCTTCGGGAAATTGCCCTTGCCCCCTCGGTGGACCCGAGTGATGTCAGTTCAAGGTTAAGTTTTAGTTCTATTTATTCGGATGTCAATCCCAGGTTGAGTTTCAGTCTTCCTCACGAGCATGTGCCCGTCTGGCACCCTCAAGGTACATCTATTTTACTTTTGTGTGTTATAATGACACAATTAGGACTCTGTTGTGTGTCTTCTTTTCAGCAAGATTTATCACTGGATTATGATCGGTGTTTCCTTGTGCCGTTGTAGCTGTACAGAGAAATCAATTCCTTGGGTGTTGGTGGGGGTTGGGGGAAAGGGAGGGGGAGGGGGACGAAGATGAACAGTATTTTGGGGGGGTTTTTTCAAAAATTTTAATTATTTTACTTTAATTTTTTTCATATGAAAAGTGTAAAATTACATATTTACCCTTTAACAATTGGTCGGACATTTAATTATTGATCAACCAATGATCAAACTAACGATTTTGGACTCCGCTAATTGTTTAAAGGTTTGGTATCATGGCACAAATGAAAGTTTGGGCAAAGTGTGCAAAAAGTGAAAATTTTGTTACCGTGGTTACAATTTTCTGTAAATTATTGTTTTTGGCCTTTTTATGGCAATAGTCACTCAAATTTATAATATTTACACTAATGTCATTCTTTTAAAAATATTAACGTTAGCTTCTACGAGTCACAACGGTTTCACAAGATGATGTTATTTACTATGTCGAGTCAACACAAATTGAAGATTAAAGAGGTTCAAAGGAGAAAATGTAATATAGTTTTAATTTTGGTCAAATGTTTAGCTTAAATCATATGTTAAACCATGGGTTTATTTTAACAACGATTTGTGCTTGATATAATAAATAACGCTGTTTGGTATCAACTTCACATTTAACGACGCCACATCAAGATATAATATTAATATATTTAACCATGTTATGATCAATGTAGCATCAAGAAACTTAACTGAATATTATCATAAAAATGAACTACAATAATTATTAATGCCTTATTTGTTTCTGATTAAAATCAAATTTTAATTTAACTATAAATAAACCCTTTTGTTATGCATAAAATGCACTGTAAATAACAACGCAAGCTTCTTCACAACAAATGCTTGAGCATGGACACACTTTCTTTACAAATCTTTTGTTTGAATTTGGCTGAAGAAATAGCATTCATAGTCACGAGCAAATCAAGTACTATATTTAAACTTTTTCTTCTAGTCGACTCATTGGTATCATATAAACCGTGTGCTTAGTTCATTATTTACATTTTCAGGAGACAATATGTTGATCACAAAATCACTAGACTATGTTTGCTGTGAGCACGACTATGAGTTGAAAATGTATAAAAAGTTATTCAACTGCGACGGCTGCAAGATGAAAGGGTTCGGAGAAAGGTACACGTGCAATCCTTGTGGTCGCGAACTACACAAAGAGTGTAGGCACCCCCAGCCTGAAGTTTCCCACGAGAATTTAGCTGGTTCCGTCTTCATATTTCGCAATGAACCATTCGCTAGACCGAATAAAAAGAATGGCAAAGAGTTTTCGAAGTGCTGCCATGCATGTGGAAAGGACATTTGCGGTTTTAACTACCACTGTGAAGCAGACAACAAGGATTTACACCCACCTTGTGTAAACCTTAAAATGAAACTAGAGATTGATGGTACGATATTTGATCTTAAGACAAAGGTTTCATCAAAGTGCTGTAAGTGTGGAAAGCAGAAGATTTCTCGAGATGAGAAAAATGTTTTGGGATGGTCTTATGTTTCTCCGTGCAAAAAGTATCATTTTCATGTGTATTGTATAACTGAAATGGTACAAGAGGCGTACATGAAGTATGGGGATTTGGCATTGGAGAATATGGTTTCAAGAGAATTAGTTAGAAATAATAGATACAGAAGGGGTGGAACTACAATCAAATTGTTTTTCAAGATTCTATTGTCTGCTCTTCTGGGTGATCCAACGATGCAGATTTCCGATGTCCTGGTGGAGCCCTGGCAACGCATGTGACAATTTCATGGATGCATGTAAATTATTGCTTTTTCTTTACATGAATAAATTTTTTGTTTTGTGTTCACTTGATTCAATTCACTTTTCCAAACATAAATGTGGTTTTATACTTTTGACTTTTCTTGTATGTGAACGATGGTTATTGCAATAGACTTTTTAATTTGAATCTTATCTTGGTCAAATTGCTAGTCGACTATATTAGAGAATAAAAATAAGAAAATAAAAATTATTTTATTATTTAATCTTGTTTAATACAACCCAACATTTAAAATTTTGATTCTCGATTTCAGTTAAATAATTTGTCAAAATTATTTTAGTGATTTCTCATTTAAAGGTTTATCTTCGCAATTATGTTTAATATTTATCACTTTCGTCATTGGATGAGAATTAGTTTCATTAAATAAACTTTATAAACTAAAACAATTAATGATTACAATAATAAGGCCACTATTAGGTCATCAAGAATCAAAGGGCAAATTTAAGAGTAATGCTACTTGCAGTTGTTCAGTGCAGCAGTCGTCCTATGTGTCACATACATAACAAGTAGTTATTGATGCATTAATGTGGTAGTTGCATCAAATACACACCTAACATGTGTGTGCCACGTAGGGCGACTGCTGCAGTGAACGACTTCAAGTAGCATTATTCAAAATTTAATTAGACTTCTTTCTATTTCAATTCGCTTCGCTTCAAACTTGATTGTTCGATATACAATTTTATTTCATTTTAACAATTCCATTGGTAAGAGTAATTGTACAAAATGATAAAAGTTGTCTAACACATTAGAAAGAAAGGAAAAAAAAGTTGTAACATATTGTATTTCTATTAATGATCTAGATTTCGTGTCCTAATTACTTTCCTTTTAAGTTAAGTATTTTACTAAAGATCGTGTTTGACTTGATTAGTTAATTAACTACTCCCATCAAATGACTTTAAATCATTGGGTAACTTAATAAAATTATTACTTATGTGTTTTCGACGTAATCTATAAATCATCATTGGTCAAATGGTCGGTTTATTTAAGTACAAGAAAGGGAAAGTTGTCGGTAAAGTTGTTGGTTTTTTTCATTGATATTTAATTAATATCATATTATTTATATACTAATATCTTGA